CTATGAGATATATGTTTTTTGAATATATAAAGAACCTCCAAAAAATAGGAAATCCTATTTTTTTCACAAGAAGCACTTTCACCTTTTGTAGAGAATCTTTGCCATGTCATACTATCTCGTCCCATCAGACATGAGAGTTATTAGAATGAATAGTTACCCAAAGGAGAACATTATCCGTACATATATGTTTTTTCTATTCATTTTAATACTCGCACTCTTTAAATCTCTACATTTGTTATCTTCAAATCTCAAACTCAAACTGTCAACATCTTGCTTGCATCTCTCAAAGAATGAGTCGTACTTCTATCATCATTTATTATGATGGTCAAATTCATGAATATGAAACGAGAGTTATTTTTGAATCAGAGCATTATATTTGCATATCCTTCAAGAGAAACATCACTCTTGAGAAAGTTTAAAAAATCTCCTTAAATTTTCATGTTGGAAGTACTAGAAGACTCCCTTCACTTTAATATATTTCCTAGCAAACTTGTTCCATTAACATATATAATGTTTGATATTTCTAATGATGATATTGCTATGATGGTTGATGCTCAAAATGAAAATCTAGAACCTCTTACAGAGATATATGCCAAATTTATTGAAATGAGTGAGGTTTGTGGTATGTCATTATCTTTTTACTATGGGTTAGTCGATCATGTTTATCAAGTTGAGAGCCCAACTCAAATATTCTGTAATGAGTTCACATTTTTAATGGCGAATCCACATTGTGTGATGTCATCAAATTCAATGGTAAGGCATTCATCGGTTACTTCTTACGATTTCTAGCGAAGTGGGTTGATGAATAATCCATATAGCAATATCCTCTCAAGTTCAAGGGAAAATTATTCATCTGTCAACTTGTTCAACCTCAACATCGAAATTCCATCGACACAATAATCTATTCAAAAAATCATATGACAATATGTTGTCGAGTTCAAGAGGAAGACATTCATCTATAAACTTATTCGACTTGAACATTGAAATGTCATCGACACAATAGTCCGTTCAGAACCCATATGGTAGTATGCCTTCAAGTTAAAAGGTTGACATTTTCTAATAACTTGTTCAATCTCAACATCAGAATGTCATCCACAAACAAGACAAATGATTATTCATCTCCACTACAAGAACCACCTCGTGAGCCAATTGTGGATGGTGCTAAAACAACATTATTCATTGAAATAGAATCATCTTAATTTAATATGGACTCTAATAATAGTGCGGATGAAGTTTCCATAAATACAACACAAATTAAACCTACAACACATATATCTAAAGTAGACTTTGACATAATGTTCGCGCCAAAATTTCTTGATATGCCTAATATTGAAGACTATAGAATTTTCTGAAACAATAGTTGAGTTCGAAACTCTTCATGCGTACTAGAATGATAGAGTGGTCCAAGAAAAATATCAATTTTACTATGTTTTTTGGACTTACTTACAATGCATTAATGCGGTGAAATACTACAAATCGTTGGTCCAAATTAATGATATTTTCTTGTACGAAAAATTCAAGCAAGTTTTATTACTATCAATTATCTAAAACGATAATCGAAACATTATTTTTGTTGTATTTGCCCTAGTTAAGAGGGAAGATACAAAGTCTTAAGCTTTTTTCCTAAAAAATTTGCAATTTCATGTTGTCAAGAGGGATAATATATGCATCATTTTATATCGAGGAGCTAGGGTAAAAACAATAGTGGACTCTTTGGATAGAATGAGAAAACCTTCATATTTCCAACATCGTTATTGTTTCTGACATATTGCAGCAAACTACCATGGAAAATTTAAGAAAAATGATGAACACTAATTACTTATACGCATGGGTATGCTACTTTTTTTCAATTTGGTTTCTCAGTCCTTTTCATTTTATTTACTTATACTTGTCACTTACTAGTACATATGACTTAGGTTACGAACTCTTACCTCAAAGGTTTGAGTATATGCTACAAGAGTTGCAAGTAAAAAAATAAACAATACTATAACTACATCAAACTCATCACTAAATAAATATGGACAAATGCATAAGATGGGGATATCGATATAGTTATATGACAACCAACTTGGCTGAGGTTATCAATTCAGTCTTAAAGGGGGTGCGACATTTACCTATTATTGCTTTGGTTAAAATGAAATATTTTTGTTTGGGTAAGTTTTTTTGCGAAGCTCGGGAGATAAGCTCTTACTTGGATGCAAAACGACCATATTTATCATCCAATATTAGTAATAAATTTACACAAGAAAGTTACAACATCAAATGGGATGTTTGTAACATATTTTTCTCGTACCCTTGAATTATTTCGTCATAACCTCTTGAAGGTATTGGATCTAACTTTTTCAGAGTGGATCTACAAGAAAGTTGGTGTGATTATGGCTTTTTTCAAACTCTAAAGAATTCATGCTCCCATGTCATATCAGCTTGTTCACATTCTCATTTAGACTATAAAAGTTATGTTGATCCTCTCTATCAGCTTTTACAAGTATTCAATGTATATGAATTTGAGTTTCCTCAATTGGTAATGAAAAAGACCCAAATGATATTAAAACTTAACTTATAATTATACCAGATCCGATTTTATTAAGAGAAGATAGTCTTCTAAAATTCACTCAAATTAATTATGATATAGATATTCGAGAGCAGTCAAAAGAACCTAAAAGGTGTAGACATTGTAGAAACTCATGCCACAATAGAACAAATGTTCATCACTTTTAGCATCTCTAAATCGTAGACCATAATTATGTAATTTTATTTTTTGTAATTGTATTTTCTCGTATTGTATTTTTTGGTATTATATTTTATATTATTTTAATTTTTTGGTATTGTATTTTTTTAGTATTATATTTTATGTTATTTTAATTTTTGGTGGTGTGTTTTATGTTTTGCATATTTCGGGTGTTCTATTTTATGTAATTTTATTTTATATTTTTTCATATAAATATTAATGAATTTATGTATTTTTTTGATTTTATTCTTTTAACATTTTACATTTGCAATCTCTTAAAGATTTATATTATTTTTATATATTGAAATATCTTAACTTACTCATGACAAAAGAATTAAGTGGTATAAATGATGTAAATTGAGGACTAAAATATAAATAATTAAATATGTTAGGTTTTATATTGAAACTCAAAATAATTTAAAATATTAAAAAACTTTAATCTTAAATCGTTAACTCTAACCCTAAAACTAGAGTGATATTACTGGGGTAAAGGCGTATTCTACAAAAAAAGGCACCTTCCACGTGTGTTACCAAATCATCATAAGACGCCTTCTACCGAATGCGGCTTTGCCACATATGCTTAAGGCGTGTTTTCCAAAATGTGCTTCATTTGAAAAGGTACTATTTTGATAAGTATTGATCAAATAATGCTAATTAGGTAGATAATGATTTCTTTAGATGATTTTTAGACAAAATTATCGCATCATTGTGCACAGTTATTGGTCCAGCTGTGGCTTCATCACGAGATAGCGAGTAGGTCGGTCAGTGGCCAAAACTAAAGTGACGGCTGTGAATCAAACCAAGCCCCTTATATCAACAATAATGTGGAGAAAACTCATTGCTCAAGCCTTGTATCAGATTGCAATCCTACCCACATTCAAGGGAAAAATCATCATTGGTGTGGGTAAGAAACACACTTATTTTCAATGTTTTGTACTCTGTCAAGTTTTCAATGCCAGAAAACTAGAACTTCTTTTAGGGATTACACAAGGACACCTGGCATTGAACTCCCCAAAAGAGACGACACAAATGTGGAATGTTACTACAAAATTAAAAAGAAACAACTTGTCATGCCAGGCGACGTAAACGTATGCTTGAACTATACAATTTTCGTGCTAGTGGCAAAGCACGCATGCCCAAAAGAGCAACAAGCATTAATTTGAACCTATCTTTGGCCTCTTCAAGAGTTCCAACATTACTTCAAGTATTATGGCCTTTTCACCACCTGTAAAGGTTTGAAATCAATATATCAGTGACCGGATCCAAAAAATTATAACTTCTTATGGTATTTATGAGATATTTAGCCACAATGATTTATCATCTCAGAAAATTATTGTTGTGTTATGAAATATCCGTTATCTTAGTACCCAAAAGAACTTTTGACTGTCGTGCTGATATGAGTTTAGATATGGGTATGAAAGATAATTTTAAGTAGATCAAAATCAATAAATTTTAGTTATAAGATTATCAAATCATACATTTATATATATATATATATATAAGTGTTTAAATACAATCTTTAAAATATACTTATTTAATGTACAAACCAATTTACCTCAGTGGTTAAGTATTTATTATAAAATGATTAAAATTATTTAAAACATATACTACTTTATGATCACCTTGACCCCAAGGAACATCAACGATGTTGATCTCAGACTATAATTAAAACGTATTAATACGAAAAGTTAGGTTGAGCAACTTGTTCTGATATTAAGGGATTAGGGAGGTCAGCTGGGCGTTTGAGTTATAGTTGATTAGTTAAGAGAATAGCTTTGTTTTATGAGTCAGTATTTTGCCATAATTTTTGTGTATTTTTCCTGACTTCTACTCCATAATCTATGTATATTTAAATTATTAAATTAATAAAAGTCAAAGCTATAGTTGTTAGATTTACCAAAAAGGCAAAAACTTTGGGTCTAATTAAAAAACGAAAACCAATTTCTTAGGTCTAATTTTCTTATGAAAACTAACAAATCCATTAAATTGGTAAGAAAAGGACTTGATTTCATATTTACTTATTTTTTATTCTATGTCTGACTATAATTTTACAAGTCTATCTGATGTAAGTCTATTATGTATATCCAATGGTTTCTCTACCAACTTCAATAACAAGATGTTATATTTTAAATTATTAATTGCACTAAACGTTCTTAAACTATTATAGCATGCTTCTTTCTCATTTGAACCCCTTATAAAAACTTAATCCATTAAGCCATTTTTTCCACAAACGAAGCATTTTCTCATACACAACTTACACAAAAAGAAAAAAATGAAGAGCAATGATCATGCAACCATTGATGTCCCAGAGTCAAGCGCTGTTGCAAAAGGAAAAGCACCTCTGATAGGGTCTCCGATGGAGCAAAAGAGAGGGCTCAACAAGGGATTGGGCATTGCCGACTTCCTTTTGAGACTAGGAGCCATAGCCGCTGCTCTTGCTGCTGCAGCCACCATGGGTACCAGCGACCAAACTCTTCCTTTCTTCACTCAGTTCTTCCAGTTCGAAGCTAGTTATGACGATATCCCCACATTCATGTACGTCATTTACATATAAAAATAAAAAAAACGCACTCATCTATCTATCTAATTGAAAAAACTGAGACATAAATGCAGGTTTTTCGTCATTGCAATGGCACTGATCGCCGGCTATCTCGTCCTTTCGCTCCCTTTCTCCATAGTTACTATCGTCCGCCCTTATGCCGTTGCACCCAGACTCTTGTTATTCATTTTAGACACTGTAAGCAACTCCCGTTAACTCTTTAAACTTAATCCAATACCAAGTTAAGTATATTTTTTTAGATATGAATAGAGAAAGACATTAACGTTTTGGCGGATATATGTGGCAGGTGGCATTGACTCTGACCACGGCGGCCGGTGGGGCGGCAGCGGCCATAGTCTACTTAGCTCACAATGGAAATCCTAACACAAACTGGCTAGCCATCTGCCAACAATTTGGTGATTTTTGCCAGAATGTGAGCGGAGCTGTGGTGGCATCCTTCGTCACCGTAGTGGTCCTCATGGTGTTGATTCTTCTCTCTGGTTTTGCTCTCAAAAGGCACTGAGAAACTCAAAATTTAGTGACCTTGTATCGTAAAATTTCCTATGTTTTTTTTTTTTTTAATTATCATTGTTTGGCTGTATGAGATTCTATCGTGCTAAGAGCAAAGTACAATTATTACAATGAAATTAAATATTTCAAGATTCTATTACGTAGGCTGTTTGATTAAAAGGGGAGTATTTTATTAGAGTAATATTTTTTAAAAAATATTGAAATAATTCCCATCCATCAAATGATAATATTTCATTATTAATAATATATATTTTTCCTTTAAACGACGGGAACGTCATCCTCTCCGGTATTGCACAATTTCAATTTCTTTGGATTGAGATGTTCTTAAAATAATACCATTTTTTATTAATATAAATCTTATTCTTTAATACGATATTTTCATTTATCCAGTCTGATTTTCTTTATTAATAAATATAATTGACGAGACAAATTGATAGGTTATCCTTGATTTTTTAAGTTTTATTTAAACTATAAATTTATCATATAAAGATAAAGGCCTAATATCGAATTTAGCTTCTATCAAAATAGTCATTTTATTATTATTATTATTTGAATATTTTGACCTCAACATTTCATTTTGAGATAAAAAAAAACCTCATTTATATATGAAAAACATTAGTTAACATACAATTAATGTTTCAAATATGAATTTTTTACCCTAAAATAAAATGTTGAGGGTCAAAATACTCTGGAAAAAAGATTAAGGGCTAAAGTGACTATTTTGTCAAATGTTAATAATTTTTTTACTATAAAATAAAATGTTAGGCCAAAATACTCCCAAAAAAAATAATGCTCCAAAGAATAGTGACAGACCATATTGATAAATAATGGATACTAATTTTAATATTATACCAAAGATAAAATATATAATATACTACTACAACATCAAAAACATATTAAATTATTTATATAAAAACTTTATAATATATATATATATATAATAAAAAATAACATATTTTTTTGAATTTTTAAAAACCAACACAAAAAATATATTAAAATAGTAATTCATAGATGAAAGATAACAATAAGTTAAAAATTGATATAATTTGTATGAACAAAATTATCTCAGTTGATAAAAAAATAGTTATTATTATTAGAGGTTTAAGGTTCCAACATCAACTTATAGTGTTAGCAAATAATTTACGGGAGCATTATGTGAGGAACTTTCTTCTCCCACAACATTATTCAAGTATTTTTGTTCCTTCTAATTTTTATGTAAATATTTTTAATTTAATAATGAAAATTTAACTTATTAGTCACAAAAATATTTTAATTAAGCATATATTTGTATAATTCTTTAAATTAAACATTTTAATGTTAAATTCAATAAAAAATAATTTGTTTGAGAATATTCTAATTTTTCATTTATAATTAATAGTATGGATTTAAAAGAAGAAGAAGATGTCAATGACGATGAAGATGATTGTGGTGGAAAAAGGTCTGAGGAAGGTCGGATGATGACATTTTGATCGAATGGTTGTTAAAGTAGTATGATCAACAATAACAACATAATGTTTGAAAAGAAAGAAAAGTCAGGACGATTACAAATAGAATAAAAGAACTATAAAAGAAAAATATATTTTTTAAAAATAAAAATTAAATCATGTGTTAAATATTAGTTGGTCAATTCAACCTAACGAAATGAAACATGAAACACATATTTTCATAAAAAAATTAAACATTTATATTTTGAATTAATCACTAGAATCCGATTTATTGATTGACTAACCTAGATCAATACTGTAGAGGCGAGAACAACCCTCCCAACCCAATTTGTTCGTCAATATTTGAACCATGTAACTCTACTTAAGTAATTTAGTATTTCATCTCACTAGACCAATCAATTATTGGTTAATACATTTACATTTTAGTTAAAGTAAATTTTTATCATATGAATTAGTAAAGTATATTTTATTTCAACAAATAAAATAAAATATAATTAAATTTTTAAAATTTTGAACTTACTATCAAAATAAATAAAACTGATTTTATAAAAAATAAATAAAACCAGGGTAAACTACACATTTTGTAATTAAACTATTACTTTTGTTTTGTTATACTTATTTTTTTTAAATCACACCTAATGTTTAGTTTAAATTTAATTTTGGTACTCGTTATTAAAAACGTAACGATGGTAATGATGTGACACCATAAGGTAATACCCCATCATCACTGAAAACAAGTAAAAATATGCCACATTAGTAATTTTGTTAATTTTTAACGACATTATACCATATTGAAACCTAAATTAAATGCTAGGTATGGTTTAGAAAAAAATAAAGTTCGAGTATCAAAATAGAACAAAAGTAGTAGTTAGGTACTAAACTTGTACTTTACCGATAAGACTAAGGGTAAACTACACGTTTAGTATCTAAACTATTATTTTTTTGTTCTATCTTTACACAAACTTTATTTTTTTCACAATCATGCCAAACGTTTCGTTTAGGTTTCATTTTGATACCTCACCTTAAAAACTTAACGATGATGTTGATATGTCACTATAAAGTAATGACACGTCATCATTGGAAAATTTAGAAAAATATCACATCAACAATTATGTTAATTTTTCAATGATAAGTACTAAATTGAAATCTAAATTAAATGTTAAGTATGATTTTAAAAATAAATATAGTTTATACATGCCCGTTTCTGAGATTTCGTTGGCCCTAGACGAACTAAAAAATTGGACCTCTAATCAGAGGTTTAAATTATAATTTGTATTTGTGTTTTCGATCGCGTTGTGTTTATCATATTGAGAACATAATAGATGATATTGTGATCATTGCAAGTATCATGATTGTGGATTTTTAATAACATATATTATTATGGACATAACGATTGCTGATCGCATTTTGGACGATGTCGTTACCACTTCATAACAGTTATTGTTGTGATTACATACCGTTATTTAAGTAATTGTTCATAATAATAAGTATTGAAAAATGAGTACCTAATAACAAATATTAAAAAAGTAAAATTTAAGAGTATGATCATAATAATAAATATTAAAAAATTGAACCTCCAATAAAAAGTAGTGAAAAAATTGGATTTATAACAACAAATAAATATTAAAAAAATTGAATTTAAAAAATATACCCCTAATAACAAATATTGAAAAATTTTGGTCATTGATAATAAGTATTGAAAAGATTGGGTCTTTAACAACAAATGTTAATGAAATATTGGTAAGAAAATTATACACTTATACAAATATTAGAAAAAAAATATAAAAATAGTCCCCTAATAACAAATATTAAGTATTAAAAAATTAAGTTCATGATAATAAGGGTCAATTTTGTGCAGCTTTTGAAAATTGACTTTTAAAAGTGATGTAGAAACGAACTTTTAAAAGTTCTATACAGAAGTGTAATTTAAAATTTAACTGTTTGGGATGATTGTTACAAATTGAGTTTGAAAAGATAAAATATCGATTACAAACATCATGCTGTAAATTTAAAATATAACATTTAAATTCTATTTACGCTTATTAATACTATAATATATAAATTATATCAACTTAAATTATAGTAAAAATATAAACATTATTTTAAGATAACTCATTAATAATATTTTTATATATGATATATTTTATTAAAAAAAATATATTATCAATATTTTTTAATTACGACAATACTTGTTTTTGACGAAAAAAATATTAAAATAAATTAATAATTAAAATAAATTATTTTTAAGGATATTAGTACTAAATTATTAAAATAATATATAAATACATAACTGAGTGGAGCTTATGCATTACTAAGGGTAAAATTATAATTTACTTCCACATGGAAAGTTGAAACTAAAAAAGCTAAAAATCCTAGCTTTTGTGGTTAGTTTGGAAACATCGTTTCTACTGCAATTATTTTATCTATTTGACACTGATTTTGCAGTCAAAACGAATTTGTATTTAAAAATGTTTTTAAAAATTTACACCAAACAAGACCTAAATATTAGAAAAAAATTAAACCATAATAACAAGTATTACAAATAATCGAGCCCTATCATATATTTTATAAAGATTCTGAATCCTGGACAAATGCCCCTCATGTTCAGATTTATATAGGACATGAATTTAGATACTAAAATTAAATAAAAATAATAATTTAAGTACTAAATTTGTAGTTTGTACTAAAACTAAATGCTACCATTTGAATCAATTTTCAATCTTTTCCTGGGGTCTAAATTTTCCATTCAATTTTCACAAGAAAGAAAGCGGAAGACGAATAGAAGGATTTACGTTCCTATGATTTTATTTTGTTCCCCTTTAACTTATTGCTTTCACTTGCGGATAGTTTGCTTTTGGTTTCGGCTGAACGATTTACGTTCATTATTTATAATTATTTCGTTTAAAATTAAATTATGATACTTGTTAAACTGTTTTCCCTGGAAAATTTGATGCAGAAAATAGCTAAATGAAGGCTAATTTTTCATGTCCGATTCTGGCGAATTATTTCGTTTCCTTTGCTATCAAAACAGCTCGATATACATACATAAAGAAGAGAAAAAATCCACACCACATTGCTGCTTTAAGAAGCTGATGCAGGGGGATCCGAGACAGATGATGCTGAGCTGTCAGATTGCACGTTGATGGCGCTGAGATACCATGAGTTGGCAGATCAGCGCAAAGGCGGGAATTGATTGTGACATGTTCCTCATTGGGGTCGTTTTGAGTATGTTTCAGTCTTTTGGCCATAACTTTGGCTACAGGTGTCAGAATCGCGCATAAGACCCCAATCCGGAAAGCTCTTTTCGACGCGCACGCTCTCCACATGGAGCTATGCTCCATGTGGCCTTTTTTTCAACCTCAAATTCTGCCGTTTTCTCCTCCGAATCACTAGATTTAGTTATTTTTTACTATTTATGGTAATATTTCGATTGTTAATTAGGAAGTCAATTTAAATCTGATTTAGGCCGGATTTTTGGGAGATTGCTTATTTTATTTCGAATTTCAATTTAGAGTAATTTTCGAGATTTTGCTATTTTTGGCAAAATTCGAATAAAGACGATTTTTTTTCTATAACAGTCCGGCTTGTGGACTGCTTTTTGGATGATTATTGATTTTATAATATTTTATTAAACCCTAGAGACTTTTTTTCTCTGGTTTTTGGGCGAATTTTCTCTTGTGAATCGTCTGTCGGAGCTAGCCTACAGGATAATCACTATTCTGTCTGGTGTCAGAAGCTTAGTTTTTTTGGGAACAAAAACTAATTGTGGCTTTTCATTTTTCATGGATTATTTTAATTTTTAAGTGACATATTTCTGAAATTTAGTGGTTCACTTCACATGAATTAAGATGATGTTTTATGAGGTATTAAGTTTGAAGTTTTTGATAATATTATATTTAGGATTGCTAAAAAGTTTAAAGAAATAAGTTTCAACTGATCATGTATTTACCAATTCAATTGACTCAAAGACCAGGAGTTATCTGGCTACTGGTTTATGGATTAAACTAGAACGTATAAACCCTTTAGGAGGATGGAAGGAAATTTAAAAAATGCCTGCTATAGTGTAGTTAACAAGATATAAGCTATATGATACACTTAGTGTCTTTTTATTAGTGCTGTGTGAAGACACTTGTGCCTTGCTGGTTCTGTTGTTTTAGCATGCCTTCAAATCCATGTCTTTCACGGAGTTCATTTGGAACCCATGCTTCTTGCAAAACAATGGCTAGCTCGGGTTATATGTTGGCAAATTGTGGTAATCTGAGGAAGAAATAAGGAAGACTTCATTAGATAATCACAGGCTAGTGGGTTGTAGGAAACATTTTTCAGCCTTTAGTAAATCAAGAAGGATGGGACTCCGTTTTCCTCATGCATCAGGTGAAGATGGTGTAACTTTCAATGGGACTTCGCAAACCAGTATTAGTACAGACTTGGATGGCATAAGGACCAAGCTTAACCAATCACTGGAGGGTGAAGATTATCGTAATGGACTTGTTTAATCTTTACATGATGCAGCTAGGGTTTTCAAGCTATCAATCAAAGAACAAGGCTCAATATCAAAATTGTCTTGGTTTTCAACAGCCTGGATTGGTGTAGATAGGAATGCATGGGTGAAAACATTCTCTTATCAGGTTTGTCTTGATTCATTCTTTAAGCTTTTATTAATATTTTCAATTTATTGCAAAAAGTATGTATGCTTCATTATTAGGTATCATTTAAGCCTGAAAATTTCACGCATTTTTTCAGGCTGCTGTGTATTCCCTACTCCAAGCTACTATCGAAATTGCATCCCGAGGTGATAGTAGAGACAGGAATACATATGTATTTGTCCAAAGAAGGTAGTGCATTGCATATATTTTATATTTCATGTAGCTCATTGGTATTTACTTTTCACAAATATTGTTCAAGTATAGTCTATTTTGTTGTCTGTTCAAGTTTATATAAACGAACTTATGTGTATTTAAATGTTTATCACAAGTAGCATCAATCTGTGTAAATGCTTTTCAGATTATTTTGCAGTAAACAAATCTGAAATCTTTTCCCAACTTGAATATGGTCCATGTTACAATTGGCTTTACAAGTTATAAATATCAATGTCACAATGGGACCTTAATGATTTTAGACATTTAGGTTGCTCTCCTCTGGTTGTTATATGGTAACCTGTTATTTCTGCAGAACAAAATAGCTAAAGGAAATCATTTTGAGCAGTGAAATGTGAAGTATAATGCTTGGTAGTTAAGGGGTATTTTATTTTGCTTCGGTGATGGAGGCAGATTATGTTATAGTTGTAATTTTGAAATTCCGTTCTATCAAGTTTGCCGAAGGAGGCTTACACTTTCTCTGCCATTCTCTATTTTCATAAGAAAACTCTGTTTTCAAGATGCTTATTTATGAGTTTCTAATAAACTCTAATCAGTTAGCTGTGGATGCTTAACTTTTAGTCTTCCTTGCTTCCTTCTCTCTCTCTCTCTCTCTTGAAATCCCCTTTTTTCTCTCTCACACATTTGCATGCACTTTCGAATTCAAGTAGATGCATGATTGCAATATTGAAATCCTTTACTATTGTCTGTCTTATGCCATACAAGTGTTGCGTTTCCTTGATATTGGTACTTTACTGCTTTATATATAATGATTTCTAATACGTGATTATACTTGCTGGAAATGTGATGCAGAAGGGAAATGGTTGAGAGTAGACCTGTTAGTGGGGCTGGATTAGTCAATGTGAAAGAGTCAGATTCATTTGATAAGGTTTTCCATTTTTCCTTTGAAATAAGTTTTTTCAAAGTAGATTTTATGTAGTTTGGTCCTGGCTTCTTTGACTATGCTGATACTAATGGTGTGCATTTAGTCACGGTGGGGCCTATTTCTTTTTGTTCATATGCTTTAGGCAGATCTGTTGTTAATGCTTCCGTCTTTTTCTCATGAAACCTAGGACGTCATAGCTTTTGCTTGCAAAGTTCTTGAATGAATGTTAACATCCCATCCTTTTTCTTTGTCTGGCTTCTGTGTGCACCAGATTCTGTTGTTGAACTGCATTGTTGGATTGGTGTCACTTGGTTTGTTTTCCATCATACATGTGATCTTTGAGGGAGCAAGCTAATGATAAAATGTTTTATGCATAGAAAAAGTAAGAGTCCTTGAAAGTAGAAGAATCGTCAGAAATATATATGTGCACTAGAATCATAAAGGTTGAAAATTGCAATCATATAGGATAGTAGTAGCTACGAAGCCCACTTTACCATCAATAAATAAACAAACATTACTGCAGTATAATGTTTGGCACTGATTATCAGATTCCCCATGACCTTATAACTAGGTGATGCTTCTTTCTCGATTTATACCGGAAGGATTTAGCACATGTTTTTAGAAATCGAAACCTTAGCTGATACCATGTGGAAACTGAGAAAACAGGTTTGTTTTATAGTGTTTCTACATTTCATTAAAGTTTACAGAGTTAGTCTTTGCCCGCCTAGAGTTTTGCCCTTCTAGGAAACCTTACAACTATTACAAAACATTTGAAATATAAATTAGAGATAAGGTGAATCTAATCTAAACTAAGAGAAATAACAAATAAAAAACTGCCTAAGTAAATCTAAAACTCACAAAGACATAATTGCTTTCTCCTTTCTCATCTTGCTACGGCTCTTCTGTTATGCTTGTATGGATAGAACTCTTGCTCCCATATTTGCCGCAGTCTATTTGTGCCTTATTTTGAACTTGTTGAATTGTGGCATCATGTTGGTTTTGTTGAAATTATTAAAATGGTTTTCAAGTTTGGTAACCAACTTTGAAAAAATGGTTTTCAAAGTTTGGTAAATGTTTCTTTGAAAAATAGTTTTTTAAAGTTTGGTAGATGTTTGTTGAAAAATGATAATGGGATAATCACAATTAATCCCTAGGCTTTACGATATTTACAAGATTAAGTCCTTAAGTTTCAACTATAAATACCCTAGCTCATTTAGCTTCAAAACCATCCCAAAAACCATTTCTTTCTCCCAATACTAGAGAGATTTCTTGTGAGTAGTGAGTGTTTTATAAACACCTGTAAATTTTCTCTCTTAGTAAAAGATCTGCAGCAGTCCGGAGACGTAAGCACAATTGGCTTAACTCCGTTATCAATTTCGGGTATTATTTTTCCGCTTTTATTTCGTATTCTCACAAATCTGGTTATAGGGAAATTACTTGTACTTGGTTTATTTCCCAACAACTGGTAATCAGAGCTTTTTGGTTGTGAATTTTGTCAATTTTTACGAGGTTACTATTCACATGAATAGTGAATTTCGTGAATAGTAAAATTTTGTCGGCGATACAAATTTGTCGACGGAGGTGTTCTAATACACGGTGGTTCGCATGAATTGTCAGAAACGATCCAAACGAAACCAGATTCGAGTGGGAGCGATGGTTGTAGACGAAGGGAATGTGAAAATCGAAAAGTTCGATGGTGCGGACTTTGGCTTTTGGAAGATGCAGATTGAAGATTTTCTGTACCAGAAAAATCTATATCAACCTCTCTCAGGAAAGCAACCAGAGGGCATGAAGAATGAAGACTGGGCTCTTCTCGACAGGCAAGCCCTCGGAGTTATCTGACTGACGTTATCCCGCAATGTTGCTTTCAACATAGCAAAGGAAAAGACCATGGCGAGTCTTATGGCGGCTCTCTCCAGTATGTATGAGAAGCCATCAGCCTCAAACAAAGTGCACTTGATGAGGCGATTATTCAATTTGCGGATGACGGAAGGGGCATCGATGGCACAACACCTAAATGAACTCAACACAATCACAACTCAGTTGAGTTCAGTGGAAATTGAATTTGATGATGAAGTTCGAGCTTTAATTCTCTTATCATCTTTACCAGACAGTTGGAATGCTACTGTTACATTAGTCAGCAGTTCATCGGGAAACAGCAAATTAAAATTCGACGATGTTCGGGATCTGGTACTGAGCGAAGAAATTCGACGGAGAGAATCGGGTGAAGCATCAACCTCCTCAGCCTTGCACACGGAGTCCAGAGGGAGAACTTCAGAAAGAAATTCAAATCGTGGTAGATCGAAATCCAGACGGGGAAAATCCACAACGGGAAAGAAAGATTTTACCTGTTATAATTGTGGCAAGAAGGGTCACTTTAAAAGAGATTGTCGAGCACTGAAGAAAAATACCGGCGCACAGTAATCTGCCAACGTGATAGAGGAGACAGGTGATGCCATGATTCTAAGCGTCAACAGTCTGATTGAATCATGGATCTTAGATTCAGGGGCATCTTTCCACTCCACCCCATGCCGAGAAATCATGGAAAATTATGTCAGTGGTGATTTTGGGAAGGTTCATCTAGCTGATGATGAAACCTTAAAGATCGTCGGAAAAGGAGACATCCGACTAAAGCTGCCAAACCAGACCACCTGGAAGCTGACAGGAGTGAGACATATTCCTGGTCTCAAAAGAAATTTGAATTCTGTAGGACAGCTTGATGGAGAAGGATACAGTACAACCTTTTCAGGCTGTGAATGGAAGATTACCAAAGGAGCACTCGTCATTGCTCGTGGTAAGAAGACTGGTACTCTCTATATAACCTCGAATTTAGAGAATATCATTGCAGTAGCAGATGTTGATGGAAAATCAAACCTATGGCACCAAAGGCTTGGCCATATGAGCGAGAAAGGAATGAAGATACTTCTGTCAAAAGGGAAGTTGTCGGATCTAAAGAATGTAGATGTCAGACTATGCGAGAATTGCATCTTTGGCAAACAAAAGAAAGTCAGTTTTGCAAAGATTGGCAAGACACCCAAGGCAGAAAGGTTAGAATTGGTTCATACTGATGTATGGGGACCATCCCCAGTTCCATCTCTTGCAGGCTCACTATATTATGTCACCTTCATCGATGATTCAACAAGGAAGGTGTGGGTTTATTTTCTGAAGAAGAAATCAGAAGTCTTCGATACCTTCAGAAAATGGAAGGCCATGGTGGAAAATAAGACTGGTTTAAAAGTCAAGCGGTTGAGCTCTGACAATGGAGGAGAGTACAGAGATAGTAGATTCAGAGATTTCTGCGCAAATAATGGGATCAAGATGGAGACAACAGTTCCCCTAACACCGCAGCAGAATGGCGTAGCAAAGCGCATGAACAGAACTCTGAATGAACGTGACAGAAGCATGAGGATACATGCCGGATTGCCCACATTTCTATGGGCTGAAGCTATCAACACTGCAGCTTACCTGATCAACCGTGGGCCCTCAGTTCCTTTAGATGGCGGAATACCAGAGGAAGCTTGGAGCAAGAAAGAAATAAACCTTTCACACTTAAGAGTGTTTGGTTGTATTTCTTATGTACACATAAACTCTGTTGAAAGAAGTAAACTTGATGCCAAGTCCAAAAAATGCGTATTTGTTGGTTATGGTGGTGATGAGTTTGGTTACCGGTTTTGGGACTACGAAAATCGGAAGATCATTAGAAGCAGAGACGTCATTTTCAATGAAAATGTGATATACAAAGACAGGTCAACCGCAGAATCAAGTAATACCGAAGCTGAAACAAAGGAATTTGCTGAGTTCGAGGAGATTTCTGGAAATGATGTTCAGATCAGTCCTGAAGCAGTTCAAGAGGAAGAACCAGGCACACCAGAACTGAGACGCTCCTCTAGAATTCTTAAACCAACCCAACGGTATTCTCCTTCTTTGCACTACTTGTTGCTGACTGACAATGGTGAACCAGAGTGCTATGATGAAGCAATGCAAGTAGAGGATTCAGTCAAGTGGGAGTCTTCCATGAAAGATGAGATGGACTCGCTTATGTCAAATCAGACATGGGAATTAGCTGAATTACCACCAGGCAAGAAAGCGCTCCATAACAAGTGGATTTACAGGATCAAAGTAGAGCACGATGGGAGCAAACGCTATAAAGCAAGATTGGTTTTCAAAGGTTTTCAACAAAAAGAAGGTATTGATTACAATGAAATTTTCTCTCCAGTCGTGAAGCTATCTACAATCAGACTGGTGTTGAAAATTGTAGCTGCAGAGAATTTACATCTTGAGCAATTAGATGTAAAGACAGCTTTCCTTCATGGTGATTTGGAGGAAGAAATCTATATGAGGCAGCCAGAAGGCTTCATAGAGGTAGGCAAGAAAAACCTGGTATGCAGGTTGAAGAAGAGCTTGTATGGTTTAAAACAAGCTCCTAGACAGTGGTACAAGAAGTTCGATAGTTTCATGAGTAGCCGTGGTTTTACCAGATGCCAAGCAGATCATTGTTGCTACATCAAGAGGTTCGACAATAGCTTCATTATTTTATTGTTGTACGTTGATGACATGCTCGTTGCAGGCTCAGACATGCAAGAGATTATAAACTTGAAGCAAAAATTGTCAAAGCAGTTTGCTATGAAGGATCTGGGCGCTGCAAAGCAGATTCTTGGGATGAGGATCAAGAGAGACACAAAGTCGGGGACTTTGATATTATCACAGGCTGAGTACATCAACAAAGTACTCTCCAGGTTCAACATGCAAGATGCTAAACCAGTAAGTACACCTTTAGGTGTTCATTTCAGACTCTCCAAAGAACAATCACCAATGATGGAGGAAGAACGTGCACACATGGTGAAGGTGCCGTATGCCTCAGCAATTGGAAGTCTGATGTATGCCATGGTTTGTACCAGACCAGATATTGCTCAAGCAGTGGGAGCTGTTAGCAGGCACATGAATAATCTGGGCAAGGTACACTGGGAAGCAGTCAAATGGATCCTCAGATATCTGCGAGGTACCACAAACAAAACACTTTGTTTCAAAGGTGGAGATACGATACTGACATGCTATGTAGATGCTGAATTAGCCGGAAATATTGACATCAGAAGGAGCACTACAGGGTATGTCTATACTCTAGGAGGAACCGCAGTGAGTTGGGTTTCTCAACTACAGAAGATAGTTGCTCTCTCCACAATGGAAGCAGAATATGTCGCTGTTACGGAAGCCAGCAAGGAGATGGTTTGGCTCCAAAGTTTCTTGGAAGAGTTAGGCAAGAAACAAGAAAACAATGTCTTGTATTGCGACAGTCAAAGTGCTATACATCTAGCAAAGAATCCATCTTTTCATTCCAAGACAAAGCACATACATTTGCGATATCATTTTATCCGGTCTCTTCTGGAAGATGGGATTTTGAAACTTGAAAAGATCAGTGGAGCTCAAAATCCGGCAGACATGTTGACAAAGACGGTGACTACAGACAAACTAAAGTTGTGTTCAACTTCAGTTGGCATGCTAGAGTAACAAGACTAGAAAAGCTGTTGCATTGATCGAGGTGTGAAGACAGATTAAAATCAGTCTTCAAGTGGGAGATTGTTGAAATTATTAAAATGGTTTTCAAGTTTGGTAACCAACTTTGAAAAAATGGTTTTCAAAGTTTGGTAAATGTTTCTTTGAAAAATAGTTTTTCAAAGTTTGGTAGATGTTTGTTGAAAAATGATAATGGGATAATCATAATTAATCCCTAGGCTTTAGGGTATTTACAAGATTAAGTCCTTAAGTTTCAACTATAAATACCCTAGCTCATTTAGCTTCAAAACCATCCCAAAAATCATTTCTTTCTCCCAATACTAGAGAGATTTCTTGTGAGTAGTGAGTGTTTTGTAAACACCTGTAAATTTTCTCTCTTAGTAAAAGATCTGCAGCAGTCCGGAGACGTAAGCACAATTGGCTGAACTCTGTTATCAATTTCGGGTATTATTTTTCCGCTTTTATTTCGTATTCTCACAAATCTGGTTATAGGGAAATTACTTGTACTTGATTTATTTCCCAACAGGTTTCAGGCATTAGAGAGTGTTGGAGAAGCTCTGAAAAGACTGGAAAACTTGCTTCAAGAGTTGCATTGTTCAAGTTCTTACTCCAGGAAAGAACAATTACAGGCAGCTTGTTCTGACCTTGAGAAAATAAGGAAATGAAAGAAAGAGGCTAAATTTTTGGAGGCATCTTTCAGAGCAAACGAAGCTTTTCTTCAACAGGTTTCTTCCTACCCCGCCTACCTCTTTTTCTTTTAATCTTAATTTTGTTAAATACCATATATTCTAGTACTGCCTTCACAATGGAATTTGTGCCATAATGGCAAGATGACTCTGGCTTTTCAGTGCCACATGCAGAAGATAATTTTTTGCCTTCTGCTTCAATAAAAGTGCACTTGGTACATGGCCAAGGAAATTGATATCAAAGAAAATTTCCTGCTATGTGTATTTGCAAATTAGTGTAATTAGTTTCATGGTGTTAGTTGCCTATCAGCACTACACATGCCATAGACTACACGAGTGGCTTTTCCTTTTTTGGTAAACTGCATGTTTGACTTTGCAACAATATAAATAGTTTAGTTCAAATTGAAATTATGCCCCCTTTGCATCTTACACATTATAAAAAATGTTTGTGAGCTTAGTTTGAAATTATGTAAATTAGTTACTTTGATTCAGGAAGCTGGTGATGATTCTTCCCATTCCTCTTTTAGTGAGCAGCAAGAATATCCTAGAACAAAAACTTTAACAAATGATAGAAGCAACAGGTAGCAACTTAAGCTGTACACTACAGTTTTTTCCTGCTTTCACGGAACTTATTGTTAATGCTAGTTCAACCATACAATGCCTCTTTATTTTATTTGTCTTTTTCATTAGAGTTGTTAATAAGCATCGTGGATTATGGAGCTTCTTACACCCTTCATCCAGGAAGCCTGGCACAGAGTTACAAGCTATAGAGAAATCGGTATAACCTGCTCACAAGTAGCATTTTACACTTGTTGGTAGCATTTGGTCCTTTTAGTATCAGATTTGCATTTCATCTATTCTCCCGTTGGTCTATATCACCACCAGTGATCAGGCCTCAAGCTCTAATTCCAAAGGACTTGAGAACTGGACCTTTTAACTCTGGAGATATACTGTTGAGATATTGGAATAATAGCTAAATAATGCCTGGTTTCAACTTCTGTTTTGTTAATCAATATATTATAAAGCTGTGTACATGTACATCAAGCTTTAGTTGTTTAACTGTATGGAAGGTTGAACATGATCATTGATTGAAGGTTCGAGGGTAGTGAAGAATCTGATAAGAAACCTGTCATCCAATAATCATGTTTTTTAGCTCCTCTTTCTTAGATAAACTGTCAAATATACACTTATGTTATAAAATTCTTAGACTATAATTATGATAACATATATTCCAGGTGCTAAAGCATATAGTATGGTGTTGGAAATCTCTGAATTTTATGTAAATGAAAGCTATTTGCAATTTTATTGCTTCCAGGGAAATGAATTGATTGAGCAGAATGCTTCAAATGCCAATAATTTCGATTCAGACCCAAATGAAATCCACCGCTTTGAACAATTAAGGAATGAACTAATTGAGCTTGAGAAGCGTGTTAAAAGAAGTGCTGATCAGTCAGCATATGAGGAGGTAAGCTCAATCTGTTGACAATTATAACTGTAGTTTTGTTACAAAAGATGTCATCCATTATAAGAATGAGAAACCAGGATCGGTCCTGACATTTTAAGGGTCCTAGGCTAGGAGGGGATGACAATCAGATAAATGGGGGCCTACACTTAGTTTCCTTTCCCATCATTATAATGGGGCCCATTGGATCACCATATTTTCGAATTTTTTAATAAAAAATGATGTTTAAAAATATTTTTTAATTATTGAGGCTCACTAAATTACATATTTTCAAGTGTTTGAAATAAAAAAAATACGTTTAAAAATACTTTTTAATTATTAAACTTAACAATATTTTAAAAAATGGGCCCCTTCAAGCTTGGGGCCTAGGCGGTCGCACCCCTGGCCTATGCTCAGGGCCAGCCCTGTGAGAAACATGTGATGCATGATATATTAACCATGAACCTTTCAGAATGGCTTTATTGTTCTTGCATGTTTTAATTTGCTTTACCGTTTTCAAATTTGTTCAGGATGTTAAGGTTACAGTTGATCGTCCTAGGTCTATTGGTTACGTTGGACGTGCTCAATTGGTTGAGGTTAAGAAGAAAGTATCATAGAAAAATCATTAGAGAAGATGAAAGAAACAAACACGGTATGAGTTTCTTGAGGATGTCTATAAGTCAAATAATGTTTGTATATTATCATTATGTGATCTCTCCGCTTTGATTTATATGCGTTCTTCCAACTTTTGGACGAAAGAATTCCTTCTTATTTTCAATAACTAATTTTTTCTCATGTTAAAATTTAGTTTGATTAATTGAAACCTTTCATAGACCTTGAAAAAAGTTTTCTATATTGCCCATGATAAGGCTTATTAGATTGGTTAAAGGCCAGAGGAACTTTCTGCATTGGTTAAAGGCTTATTAGCTTGAGAAAGTAGAGGAAATGGAGATGAGCGAAGTGGGTTCTGAAGAAAATGTGGAGGAGGTAGCCTGAATAGCTGTGGATACCTTGTATAGCCTTTAAAAGAGAAACAATACTTTTCGTATAGAGTAACACATGGTTTGCATTCTGTTTAAGATCCACAGTATTCCTTGTTTTGCCTTTTCTTCATTAATTGCAAAAATAAATAAAACACAAATGTAAACCAAACAGAGCCTGAGAAATGCCTTCAGTAGGCTTGTACCCCCTGGAAAAAAAAACTTTGTATTTTACTATTCTTGGGGGGGGGGGGTTGTTCTTTTGCATTGAGAATGAGACATTGTAATCATCAATGCTTTTAATGGAGCAGCAGCAATTTTAGAAGTATGTGCCCAACTATTATGACCATACCAACCCCCGTTGATTTTCAATTATTTGGACGACATTTCAATCATTCCCAATCTCATCAATTTCAACCCAACAATATTTTTTACTTGGATTTTTTTTTAAAATTAGTTGGACCCAAATAAACCACGTCGCAACTTAACCATGCTTTATTAGCTAAACTATTGGGATTAGGCCACGTGGTAACCAATCGACGTCACTAATTATGGTTTTGATTAATCTGTCTCATCAGAAGTGGCAGCACGTAACCAATCTCAATATTTTACTTTACTAGTTTATTAACTGTCTTTAATTCTTAATTAATTAATCTAAGGTTGTAACACTGAATCAGTGATGGTGATGAAACAGCCTAATAATAAATCTAAAAATATTTTTGAGAGCGAATGTACATATATTTTTTTAATAGAATTAACAAATGTAAAATTCTAGAATAGATACGTTAAACAAAATATATAGCTAACAAGGTAGAGGCATGCAGATTTTCAAATAGATGTAAACCCCCCACTGAAATAGCCTATGAGAATATGTGCATTGCTTACCGAGTTGCCGTCCATTCTTTAAGTTTAGGACTGAGAGTAAAACAGGTGGGTGGTCGGACCCTGACTCAACGCTGATGAGCTTTCCGACGTGGATGGTTGGGAGACATCAAGGTGGCACTCGACGTCCACGTCCACCCCAAATAGCCGTAGCAGCCTATTTGGCTTCCCACCTCCTCCATTTTGAATCATGCTTCCTGTAAATATATTTAACATAGCGAAACATGCTCCCATGTTATCAATAACCCCACCCATCATGATACAACCATTAAGCCTATACATATCATTGAATAATTAATTGAAATATATTACCAACGAATTAAAATATATTTGATAAACTATCATATTCCAATATCCTTCCGAATAATTTTTTGTAATTCAATTAATTTATACTAAGTAATATTAGTTAAATTTAAGTCTATAGAACCTTTTCTTTATACCTAATTAAAGTTCCATTTTCTCATCCATTTTTCAGATTTCATATGTGATAATACTAATAAACTTGTACATTCTTTTCAAAATCTACTCACAATAAGATTTATATTTGATGTTTTTATTTATAATATAATTCTGCTTGGACAATGATATATACTTTATAACTTTTTATAATATATATTTTTAAAACATAAAACAATTAAGTTAATATATATATATATATATGATAGTGGGATTAAAAAATTCAAAGAAACTCATCCAAAAACAAATTCCAGAAAACAACCGTATAGAAGCACATTGCTCCCATATAGTTGGAATGTGTCTCTCACGCACTTCAATGTGTGAATGAGTTCCAAGTTAACAATAATCCCAGAATTTATAAAATAAGAATCAGTATCTATTCAAAAAAAATAAAGGAAAAAAATAAGAGTTTACGGTATGACAATAATGTAATATACCTGCATGAAGACGGTCGGGTTGGTATGGAACATTAGCCCCAAGGCCTTGAATGTGCCCAAGATAAGGATGGACGTGATATAATCCACACCGCTCATCGCCACCGGCTTTGCCGCCACACTCCGTTTCCGCCACCTCTGGAGCACCGCGCCTCCTCCATCCTATAAACAACCTACTACAATCCCGACGGTGTCGTTGAAACAAAACAATATCACCAGCATCGAGTTTTTTCTCTTTCACGTATCTGCTCCAACCTTTGGTCAACACGTAGCTCTGGCTGCTGTTCCAGTACGAGTAACGGAAACTCCAACACTTGCCCCACTCGTCCTCAAAACTCATTAGCAACCCACCCGAGTCACCGCCGAGTGGGAAGTACTTCTCCGCGTGCTGTTTGGGGATAACAAGCCGGTTCAGCTTGCCGACGTCGCTGGGCGTTAAGGGTTTCTCGAACATGGGCTCCCTTTCACCGTCGAAGACTGGGTTTTCGTTAGGGTTTGGGGGTTTTTCAGGGTAGAAATTAGATGACCATAGGGAGCTTTGTGTTGGTTCCATGGAAGACCCAAAATTCTTTTTGGTTTGAGAGAAGATGTTGATTTGTTTTATTGTTTTTAGAGAAATAGAGAATATGGGTTATTTAGTACAAAGAGAGACTGTATAGACTATTTTAGGCATCTAAAAGATATGGCACCGACTAAGAGAAATAAAAAATTATATTTCGAGATGATTATAAAGTAATATATATATTTAAATTTGTAGTCATTAATATTTATACACTAATCGTGTCAAGACTTTTAAAAGAATAGTTTTTTTTATCATTAAGCTTGTCGGATAAATTCTAAGTATTTCATTTATGCATTTTAGTTTCTTGTGATTTAACAAATACAATAAATATTTTAGCAAGAGTTTGTATGTGAAAAACTCTCATTACACAAATTTTTACACGGACAATTATTACACGTTAACATCTCATCTTTACAATATTTCCAAAAAAAAATATGGTAATTGATTTTTGGATATTAAACTTTTCAACATTTTCTATTAGTTTGGATTGAATACATGACAATATTTGTTCGGAAGATTATCAACAATTTGATAATAAATATTTATCTATTCCTACCGACGTTATGTTTGATATTTCAATATAACAACAATCTCTTAATTAATAAGTTCACTTAATTCATGCAAATCCTTTAACATTCAATATTACAATTTCATTAATAATATGTGAATTTATATACTGATAATGCACTAAATATAATATTGGGTAATTTTGAAAGACAAGCCCCATGTTACTAAACAATCCATTGGCAAGCAAATCAAAAGGGTTGGGGGCCAACAAACCTGACGCACAATATGGAAGATTAGGGTTTGGCAGTCGATCAAGCAACAGGTGCCCAAGATCTTTGGTAATTGGGCGCACATGTTTCATCTGTTTTTTTATTATTTGTCACTATAATAATAATAATAATAATAATAATAATAATAATAATAATAATAATAATAATAATAATAATAATAGGAGTCTGTGTAATTTCGAACAGTAAAAAATTTCAAATTTTTAATAGGGAACCTGACTGATAATATATGAACAAGCTTGTTAGGTTTATATTCAATGAGATATACAGAGAAACAGTACAGATGGGTGGCTAAAGCAACTTCATAAGACAATAGTAATTAAGTCTTTCAACAACTACTTTAGTTTTAACTCTAAGATTTATAAATTTATATTACCTCCCTTGACACAATTTTTTACTTCACTCTCGAATATATATATATATATATTGAAATAAAAACACAAATACAAATGATATAAGGGAAACAAATAATATAGATCAACAACACTTGTATTTGTGTGAGTGCATAAAATAGCATTATTGATGCTTGGTCATTCCTAGTTTTAAAACAAAGGAGCAATCAAAGGATTTGGTGTAAAAAATCACAAGATCCCTTGCCTTTCCAATGAAAAATAAGATAGAAATTAGGAATAAGATTACTTGTCTCGTGTTTCCATTTCGATCACTCTCCCATTATATATAATTCTACTCAGGCCACAAATAATATAAAAATAAACAAATTATTAAAGCATTGATTGGTGTAGAAAATAGTATAAAACATGACAACGTAAATGAATATCTTAAATATTAGGGTAAACTACACATTTAGTATCTAAACTATTACTTTTATTCCATGTTGGAAATGAAACTATTTTTTTCAAAATCATACCTAACGTTTAGTTTAGGTTTTAATTTGATACTCACGTTAAAAACTTGGTAGATATGTTGAAGTGATATTTTTTTCCAATAATGACATGGAATTACCTTATGGTAATTCATCAATATCACTATTAAGTTTCTAACGGCGCGGTACCAAAATGAAACATAAAGTAAAAGTTAAACATGGTTTTGAAAAGAAATAGAATTTGGTACCAAAATAGAACAGAAGTTATAGTTTAGGTACTAAATATGTAGTTTATCCTAAATTTTATAATAACATCTTAATACATAACTAAAATATAAAAAATAAAAACAAAAAGCATCATCTCTGTTAACTGAGTTTTAGTTGGGTTGATATAATTTCTGCTGCAATATTTAGAATGACACAAGTTTAGATGTGTTTAAACATACAATATTTTATGATTTAAGAGTTTGAATAACTTGATATATATATATATATATATATATATATATATAATAAGAGGTTTGAGCTTTAAAAGATAGAATTGAATCCTTATAAATGATTCCAAACAAACACTGCAAGCAGATTACATTTGCTTACCTTATAATATATAATAATGTCATAGGAATTTGTGTTGTATGATCGGTTCAATATTTTGTAAATAGTGTTTCGCAAACAATAATTGGCTA